CGCGCACGAGCGTCACGTACACCCGGAAGCGCAGATCGACGATGTCTTGGAGTCCGCCGAACAGGTTCTTCAGGCTGTGGAGGGAGGGCTGTAGTGACAGTAAAACAGTGGACAGGACTCACACTCGGAGACAAACGAGACTCTGTTTCGCGGGTTTGGGTTTCAGAGTCTGTTCACAGAAGGCGTGAATCAGTTGAGAGGACTCTTGCGATGACTGCGGCACCGAAACGATGAGCAGAGAGACCACGGAATTGAGAACCGACTCGACGTCCGACTCCTTCGCGCCCTCGCGGAAGAGCACATCGCAGGCGGCGATGATTTGCTTCAATTCGCCGATAAATGTCTCGCTTTTCGTGAAGACTGCGCCCAAAGACTCCAAGTATTCGCGCAGTTCTTCGCACTGCGGATCAGAGAGGGTTAGTGTGGGTGAAGATGAGGGCAGAAGGGATGGCAAACCTGTTCCGATTCGGAGATATCGATGAAAGTGGGAATCGATGACATCTTCGCCGACACGTGTGAGCGCTGGAGAGGAGAGAAGGCCTTTGCAGACAATACAGCCTTCGAAGCGTTGCTTTCGTCTACAAGCGATTCAGTGTTTGGCGAAATCAATACATTTGTCAATACTCTGCGCCGACTTTGCGTTTGTTTTGTGCTTACGAGAGGCAATTGCGTTGCTTATAGATAAAGGGCCCAAAAGGCTGCGAATAACTGTAAGGAATCAATGAAAAGGAGTTGACAACAAATACGTCCCAAAAGACGAGATAAGAAACAAAGTTTTGAACGAAGATTGCAATCAAATGACCGGAAATGAGAGGAGAAGCGCACGGAGTGTCCGATTGGGGGCCGAGTCATGGCGTTTGGCGACCGTCGGGCCGTCCGAATGGGTCGGAAGAGCAGTGTTTGCTTCGATGTCTTGCGGTTGTAGTAAATGTGAGGAAATATCGATCGCTTTCGTCAGCAATCATGTGATCAGTCATTGATTTAACGATTTTTGACTCGAAATGAAGTGAAATTGGGATCAAATCCAAGAAATGCCAGAAACGACAACTCGATGTCGGATTGCGTGAAGAAATACTTCTGTCCGCGACTTCTCGACTACATATGTATTGTCGGCAGTCGTCAGACGAGCGCAGACTCGCATTCGCTGCAACTGCCGGAACTGTTGCGCAGATATCCGCCCGAAGACCACTCGGACTTCGCGCTGCCGCCGGA